TGTAGAGCGGTGGCGAGATAGATTGCCGGTTATTAAAATACTTCGGCGGTTATTATACACATTGACGGTTATATATATTTTTAATGACATTACAAAAATATAATTTGAGGGCTCATGTTAATACAATCTAGTTTTAGAATATTGAAATTGTTCAATGATATAAGTTCCGATATGTCCGACTCGTTAAATAACTTTAACTGTTTCTAAATAGAGAATTTTGAGCCCTACCTTATGCTGTTTTAAAGCGATATTTAACTTGTCAGTTAGCCGAGTTTTAGTTAATGGACGGTAGAGTAGTGGTCCTATTTAAATTTGAAGATGAAAATATTCCACTTCTATGGGTGGCAAGCTGGGGGATGAATGTTTCGCGCACTTTCCGGTTTAACCGATTCCAATAAAAAGAACAGGCATTTGTTTATAATTCCACGAACTTTTAAGGTCGGCTTATTTAGTACTATGTACTGAGATTGTTAAATTCAAAATAAAATTGACTCAAAAAATCCATCGGTGTTAAAAAAAAAATTAAAAAATCCTTGGTTTTCAGTAATTGGCAAAAATGTGCGTGATTTCTAGACACTTTTGATGTATGTATTTGTGTTTAACTTTGGCACAATTTGTAGTTTCACTTTTACGCCCTTTCTACTCCTTTGTATCTTTTTTTTTATGATCTTAAGTGTTAGGACGAACAAGTCGTGCGCCTGGTCATAAATGATACACAAAGTTGACTGTCAATTAAAGCTGAAGCACACCCCGGACACTCCATACAACAGTCGAAAATTATTTACTTACTACTACTACTACATACAGCAAGGCCCTATCTGCACACGCGCAAATGTGTGCGTGAAGTGGCAGGGTTACCCATCACTTTCTCGCACTATTACGTTACGTGGTCAGAGCGGCAACATAGCGAAAATTCTAACGCGAATCTGTTATCTATGATTCTATTAATAGGATCCTAATAATTATACATGTCTATTAGGTATTTATATCGATATATTATTATATTTTTCATCAATTCACTGACTAGAGTAATGTTGAAGGTTTATTTTAAAAATATATTAAAAGAACTTTAAATGTTATATTTAGGACACGTACTTAGTAAGGTAACAAAGGTACCTATTTGAAATTGCTTGTCCAAGTTTAGTTAATAATTAGATATATTCGCTACCTACGCAATATTTATCAGCAATACGAATAGAAAATTCGCGAAGTCATGGCGTCTCATTATATTGATATAATAAATCTGTATTTTTTATACATACATATTACTCTGCAGTAAATAAATGAAGAAAACAATAACTAAATGAGTCTCAGGCATAAGTTTTTTTTCTTACTTCGTTTCATCTTTCGAAAAATGATTATAAACAGCTGTATACAGCACAATTCACGACCATTATAAATAGTAACGTAAAATGATGTTTTTATATTAATGTACAAGCTACCTAATGAATAAATGAAAACTATATTTAAATATCAAAGCCGTCTTCCCGCGACAACGGCTCGCCGGCAGCCTTGTTGTCGTTCAGTCAATGTGACCGGCAATGTGCGGGGCATGGTGCGGTATCTAAACCTAGGGAGGGGCGGAGAGTGTCCGTTCTCTTATTCTTTATGCTCTGGCTGAAGTTCTATGGGCCTACAATTTCTTTTGGGCGTGATTGACTCAACCCTCATTAACTATGGCTTACATGTTTGTTACTATTAGTGTAAGTTGTATAGTATGAATAAATGAATGAATTTCACCAGCAGCTGGAATGCAATAATGCTCACAGTAATGCTTGGTAGCAGAAATAGGTAAGCTGGCGTACTTCCTGAACGACGATGGACCCGTATTTAACAGTGGAACGTTCATGTGTTGATATATAATACAGTAAATATACAACTTACTTTTACAGTAAGCAGCCTCGTTTTCTTCCCCTCCATCTGCACAATGAGTTTGGCGTTCATATCTTTCTCTCTGTAACAAAGCAACATAAATCTTTTTATGAAATTGCATGACCTTTTGCACGAACCGCAAATGACGTCGTATGGAGAAATGTGTGGTTTTGTCATATATTTAATAGCGAGAAGGTTTTGTGAAGTATTTTGAGGTTTTTACTTGTGTTTCGCTAAATGTTTTGTGTGTGGGACTGTGCGTAGCGGTGTTTTTCTTTTTTTTCTACATTTATTACCACTAATATTTCGACTAAAGAACTTGGATCAAAAATCAGGAAATAAGTTTAAAAAACAATAAACAGTAGGGTTTATAATTTCTTAAATAGACTACGAGCAGACTACAAACAGATTTCCATTGTTAGTTAGGCAGTCCTTTCCAGCACTGAGTTGCCTTCATCAATCACTAGGTGACAAATTCAAGTTTTTATTCCTGATTTCTTGTCTAAACAAGCATCAGAAGGTGAAATGAATATCTGTTTAATGGACTGGTTAAGGTTTATATTATTATTAAAACGTATTATTAGAACGTCGCTTATTTAAGGGCCTTCTGTACAATCTCTCATAGCTGTGGCACTGAAATTCTGTGATCATTATTACAACTTTGTCACTCCTTCAGTTATTTGTAGGTCCATCAGAAGATCACAATCAAGATAGTAGGCATTTTGTGAGTCAGACATGTATTACCTTATCTAGCTATTGCGTATATAGGTAGGCAGCAGGTTTAAGTTATAACATCTCTAGATTAGTGGGTGAGTCATGCTCAGCAGTGACAAAAAACTAACTATATTGAGGGCAGAATCAGGGTCATTGATATTTTTTTTCTGAACTGCTGTCAATTAGTAACTTTGTAAAGAAGCACCCCCAATTTGATACACCCGCACCTAAGGTCACCATCTGGCCGGATTTTTCTGGACACGGGTAGTTATTTTTAAGTTATCATGTGACGGGAGAAACAAGTCGTGCGTCTGATGGTAAGCGACACGCCAAGTCTATAACGTTTGCAGTGCCACTCAGACCTCTAAACCACAAAGATCTGAGGCATTGCCACTGCGCCCGTCACCCTGAGACATAAGTTGATAAATTTCATGTGAACTCCGTTCAGTCAATAAAGAAATTACTTCAACGATATGCCGCCATCGTTTGGGTCGCGCGTATAGTCCAGTTCATCTAGCTAAAATAAGGATTAGGGATAAAAAAATAAGGACTAAGGAAACGTGGACCATATATTCTTTGACTGTACTAAATTACGATATTCTCTGTATGACATTCTCCCTCCTTCTATTCCTCGTCCTATTTACATTAAAGGCCTTTTGTCACTGTCCTCTCACCCAAAAATATATCATATTCTCTGTAAATTTATTCAGTGACTCATATTAAATTGTGATTATTGTTAGTATATTAACACTTTATTTGTACTTAAATATTATACATTGTTACTAACAATTTGTGTTGTCTAATTTATGCTGTCTCTTTTGCCCTAGAGATCAACTTGTGCAAAAATTTCTTTGATAGTCCCTCTGAGTCACCAAACATAGTTTACTTAAACGCTCCCTCCATGGTGTTTATGAAACTAACATGTAACGGACACTGGCAGAATTGAGACAATAAATTAGTCTCACAAGCCTGTAATTTCCCCAGCACCCTTACCCTTTAAAACCAGAACGCAGTATTGCTTACACTGCTTGGCAGCAGAAATAGGTAAGGTAGCTAGCTACCTTCTGTACTCCTGTACTTTCCTGGATTAACTCTTTCACAAGGAACTCTAAGGGTCATATTCTAGAACTCTACTCAATGCTCAAGTCAGGACTTGAGTATGACTCAAAGCACTAGAAATCATACTCAAGTCCTTGCCATAAGGGCCATATTTCCAGTGCTTAAAATCATACTCAAGTCTGCTCAAATCCTGACTTGAGCATTGAGTAGAGTTCTGGAATACGACCCTAAAGCTACTAAAATCTTACATTACCTAGTTTTATAATTAATCATTTCTATAACTACAGCTCAGAGCAGTGTCATTTGCATTAATATGAGTCATCAACATCTCAGCCAGGCATGACCATGGGACCTGTATAGAGCCTAAAATTTTGGTTTGTTTGAAATTAGAAATAAACGAGATTATAAATATGAAAAAATTATTAAATTCCAATTTGCAGCAAAAGCTATGAACTGGATATTTATTCTTTAAGTTAAATTTTTGCATTTATATTTAGACATCAGCTACAAAACTTACTGGAAACCCCATTACTCACCAAACCATTACTAACCAAACTCTCTTAATGCATTTACAGAACTTCCAATGTGATCTACAACTCTTTTTACTATAATCATGTTGACTTACTTCTATTCTTAGAAATTGTAGGAATAAAAGGAAGTTATTATACCATACTAATACAAAGAACTGAGGATTCCATCCTCAAGCAGATTTCTAATACGCCCTAGTTCATTTGAAACTCGGAAGTCCATCACTGCCTAACAATCAACACACTAAAAGCAGGAATTCGATCCTACGTATTAAGTATAAGAAGTGACTGCATTACCACCCTAACCTACAGGCAGGGCAACTGATTATCCCTGACTCAATGAGACATCTTAAGAGGTGCAGAATCTTAAAACTGGATCAACTAGTTTGAAAATCCAGCTGCAATTGGAGGGGCTCCTGTTGGGGAGTTGAGTCTACATGCCAGTAATTATGCAACACATCTGCTCATAGTTATTCAGCTGATCACATGAGTATACAATCAAAAAAAAACATTATTATGATGATCTTGACAGTGTCACTACGTTCATTCTATTACTTAACAACAGCAATATTTGTTAGTGAATTGTTAATTTTAATACAGTTGTGTATTTACTGCCTCCGTGGATGAACAGTAATCATGCTGGACTGCCATACAGAGGTCCCCGGTTCGATTCCCGGGCTGGAAGAAATATTTCAATGGCCATATTTCATTTATTTATCGCGTGAGTTTTTTGTGGTGGTTGTCTATGTGTGCACCAATGGCACCTGTAATACAGGGTCACCCTAGTGCAGGGCTATGAGTGCGTGCAAATAAATCCCGTTTTTTTGTTTTACTATCTTAATATTAATTTCTTATACTTTGCAATGCTATGCATTAACAGTCATATGATATTTGAGAAATAAATGAACTAAACTAGAAGCCACTTTCACAAGGAAGTAATTGCATTTGATGTCTCCTCAAAAGCAGCATAGCTTGTTTATCAATCAGCTGTTGGTAAACAAAGACAGAAGCATTCCAGCATCTTACTTGTCAGTAGAGGCAAGTGTGACCACTGATTCATTATGTAGGCCACCAATTATTAACGTTACTTCGTCAACTTTCATAAAAATGGCATGCCCGAGGTACAGTTGTGTTCCAAATGCAACTGAACCGTGAAAGTCACTGCCATTCATCATGACATCATGGTTTCTTTGCACTTTCAAATTGTCCACTTGGAATCTACTAATTGATTGACATAAAACGTTACAGTTTATGAAAGCTTTTTATTGCCGCATTGCGCCTTTAGAATATAATGCTGTCAGTCAACCAGATAATGGATCAGCGAATTTGCGAATTAGTCGTTTCCCATGCAATAAATACAAAATAATAACAAAGAGATTTTCGGGCCACTTGAGTATGTAGATGTATGAATTACCTTTGATTGAACGGGCGAACCCTTACGGCCACTTTCACCGAAGCCATTGTCACACATTATATTGTCAATTGTTTAAAAATTAATAAAAATTACATTAACCACACAAATACGACTCCGCGAAGCGCGTTGACATTTTGTCGAGTTTGTTGACATTTAAAACGAGATGTTGCTATACATAAAAAACATTTGAACTTTTCTAAAATGATATATTTTGAACAAGAACAAAAGACACATGCCGAGTAAAGCAAGATTAGAAAGAAGCAAAATTAATTAAAAACAATATATAAAAGGGTTCCAAATAAAAATTACAGATTATTATATAGAATATAAATGAAAATCTTGAAACTTAATTAAAAAAGTATTAATTATTATTAAATTATTTTATAATGGCAATAATCAATTTCACCCTAGTGATGTGCAGTGAATTGTCACCCGATGTCGATGAAAATTATTACTTCATTTTTTACGTTGTAACTAGCGGTAATTTAGCAATTTACGCTTGCATATAATAGCCTTGCAAATTTTAATGTTATTGTGGACACAGCAGTAGCAGTATAGCTCTTTGTGAAAGAGGTCGTCCAGGTAAGTGCTGTCACCTTTCCTATTTCTGCCGCCAAGCAGTAATGCGAATATTACTGCGTTTTGATTTGAAGGGTAGGGTGCTGGTGAAATTACAGACAGATGGGACTCGTCAACTTATTTTTCAGGGCGACGGGTACAGTGGCGGTGCCCTTCAGACCTTTGCGATTTCAAGTTATGAGGGGTACTCCAATTGCTGCAATAGCACTGCTTTACTAAAGATAGCTTATTGATATTCAAATTGTCAGTAGTACTAACTAGTTGTTCAAAATTCTTAAACGTAGTTATATATAACTAATCTTTAAGCCTTTGTAATTATTGTTTCTTAATCATGAACGTTATCCTACAATGAGATACAAAAGTAACGCAGTTCTTTTTTTAAACTTAAAATAGCGCATGACAATATTGTTTCAACTTCTAATCTTTAGCAAGAACTCTTTTAGCAGTCAAAGGCACTAAATACAAATCACACTTCAAATGTGCAGTATTTGTAAAATTGATGGCGTTCACATTGTCAATATTAACCGATATCGCTACTTTCTGGTGACTGACATCACTACACTGGTGTGTCTGTCGTTCGTTTCGGGATAAAAGGTTAGAATTATATTTTTTGCTTTTTTGTATTTATATATTAAGGTAAACATGTGAAACAATACATAATACGCTTAACAAAATTACTATTTATAGAAATTAATAATTTTTTCACGGCTAATAGGTATAATAAATGAAAAAAACGCTGTTGTCGATGAATATGTAATTACATAATAATTTTTTCATGTTTTAAACAGGTAAAAAAATCGCAGCCACCATGTCTGAGACTCCGGGGCGCCCGATGAAGTTCCCATACACATTCTCGGCGAAGATCGCCCAGTTCCCCATGAAATATTATGTTACGAACCAATGGATTTGGAAGTATTGGATGGTCGGTATTGCTGTGTCTATACCCATCTTCTACAAGATTCATAAGCTCGGTGAGTAGGAGGGTTTGTTTATTATCTATTCTAGATCAAGTTGCAGAAGATATTAAAGGTATGCCTGAAGTATTTGTGATGTGCAAAAATGTATGTTAATGTTGTATTTGTAGAGCTCTGAAAACAGATCGATTGAGATTCTGCAGTATTTTATTTTATTTAAAACAATAATATGTTTCAAGAATGTTTTTAAAAAAATACGTTAGCAAAATTTTTCATCCTTCTGGACAGGCTGTGGTGTTTAATTGGCCGTATTGCCAAACTTAGATTTTAATTTTCTAACTTTTTTGCAGGAAATCAATCTTTTTGTGATCCAAAAAAATAATATTTTTTTTCTTTTCACCACAATCTTTTTTGTAAATTTTTTTCTCGACCTTGGATTCAAATCCTTTAGTCAAAAGTTATGGTAGTCGTTTGACAGTAGAACAAATCAATGAATTTTTTTCTATAGTATTTACAATGAATGTAAGTAATGAATTAAATTGGATTATATAGTCAATCTTGAACACTTGTCAAGTTTACTTCTACGACATCACAAATGTCACTGACAAGTTTCAGTTTTTGAATGGCAAACATTTCACAGTCTCCTTATGATTTTACCTGGTTGCAATTGGATCTAAGCTAGAAGCTGTGGTTCTAGTGACACATCCTCGTAACCTTAAAACAGCATTCGTAGGTTCCCTTGAGCACCTGTTTTTTGATTGTAATATTATCGTCACTCCTCTATATGATATCCTTTCAAATATAATGTCTTTCAAGTGTAATGTCAACTTCCTCCTAACATTAGTCTATTCTCCCTTTGTGCATGTGCTGTGTAAATTTATTTAAAAAAAAATTGTTTCTGTAATAGTCTGGAGGTTCACGGGTCATTGTAGATTTGTAGATTCTCCTCTCAGTGAATTCTGTCGAGATTCATGAAAAATGCATGTGTTCCTTAACTTGACATTGGCCAAATCATCAATTACTTTGATGAGGCCATAACATTTTGAAGAAGAATAATCATTCAATCAATCAGTTTTATTCAGTGCAATCGAATTTAAGCTAGGTGTTGTTGTTGAAAACTAACTTTGAAATGCTAAAACAATGAAATCTAGTTTTTTTGTAACTGGAACTGACTAAACGATGACTTGTTACTTGACTAATTAAATTTCAAATATTTAAGATCACATTGGAATAAAGTACACCAGACAATTTTATTTTAATTTAGATCTGTCGTTATAAAATTTTAAGGCCCCTTCAAAATTCGATTTTCTTATTTTTAAGCTCCATCAATACAATTGATGATTCTGTTAAAAAATTTGGTCATGATACAATAGGTGCTTTTAACTGTAAGGAATCTTAATGTCTAAAATGTTTTCCTTTTTATGGGTAATGTACACTCATTAAAGTAGTATGTCACAATGTGACGTGTTGTCAAGTAATTACCGGGAAAGTGTTTGCAAGTGAAAATTGGCATAATCATATCTGTGCATCTCGGAGATTCACTACGACAGAGCCATAGTTACAAAAGTTGACGTTGTCACTATACTATAACGTAGAACATTTTGTAACTTGGTTGTAAAAATTTTATAAAAATAGAAGTACATTAATTTGCTATTCTGCGATCCCAGTGCAGGTTAAATTGTGCCAAATAGCTGCGCTTGTGTTAAATTTTTTTCATGCCATTCATTTACCCACCCTCTCTCATAAAATTAATAAAACATAAGTAGAACTACAGTCACAAATACAACCACCAAAAATATACTCAACACGTATTGTGCCTGTCTGAGGCATCCTTAGGAGTTGTCGATTGTGTAATGCTTGGCCGGGCAGAGAGCTTCTTTCTTGGCAGTCCCTACTCTTTCCTGTTGGGGCTTTCCATACTGTCAGTACCGTCTATCTTTTAATGCATTTGCTGTATTAAATAACTACATAATAAATGATTATCACTAAAATCAGGTTTCTTACCACGGTATGCCTTCTTTTTATATTCGCGATATTTCGGAACGGTTGCACGGTCACGGTCACGGTTTGACTGGACGGCGGCAGATGACAGCTTTAAGAGCAGACATATCTGTCTACCCTCTTGCGCTGTCGACGACTCGCAGCCATCGAGATCACGAAGTACAAAATTTTTAACCGTAATGATGGTTTTAAACTATCCAGTGCATGGAATCCGGTCCTTAGTGCGTGCAGTAATAAAAACACCTCTAGTTCAGTTGCGCGTGTGGATACAGTGAGTGTGGTTTGTGTGAAAAAAGTGAGCGACAATGGTAACGCCACAACAAATCGCGATGAAGGTAGTAGTCGTCGACAGCGCAAGAGGGTAGACAGATATGTTTGCTCTTAAAGCTGTTATCTGCCGCCGTCCAGTCAACCCGTAACCATGGAGCGTGCAACCGTTCGGAAATATCGGGAAAATAAAAAGAAGTCATACAGTGGTAAGAAACCTGATATTTGTGATAATCATTTAGTGAATAACCACGAAAGTCTTAAAATCTATATAACTACATAAAAATAATAAGTGCAAATTTCGTTCCAGCTAACTCCCCTGAGAACGTGAGCAAATGGGCAGAGATCAGAAGGAAGGAGGCGGCGGAACATCACTAGGCTAGAATCGAACCACTTATTTATGTACATCTAAATGATTAATATGATGTATCTATGTTGTAAGGGCAAATAAATCATGTCTTAGTTACACTAGATTTGTTTTCTTTTGTATCTCAGTTTTCACTTTTAATTTAAATAATCCCATGTTAAGTTCCACTATTCAGCGTGTTCTAGAAACGTTTTAAGCTACAGTGCACCATGTTTACATAATGCAGCTAGACTTGTGAAATTTTATAGAGGAAGGCAATTGTAGAGGACCCATATACAATAAGTTGGTTGAAAAATAATAATTTGGGGTCATGTGTTAAGGAAGACGAAGAAAATGTTTGTAACCAAATTATATGTAGCATAATTAACTGTTTATCAATTGTGTACCGTACAAACATAATTCTCGCGCATTCTCAGGAATTCCCGCAGCTATCGTACAGGCTCAACGCGCAGTTGCAATAATTGAGCTTCCATTCTAGCGGCAATAAACACATTGCTTATTGATGATATTGCGTAACTAATTATGTTTAAAAAAAAAGTACCAGTAGTATTTTTAAGACAAAAAAGAAATACATTAGGAAGTTTTTTTAAGTAGAATACACAACACGATTCAGACACTAAATAAAAACAATTGTATGTGCCCGATCCAAGAAAATGAATTTTCTTTCTGAAACGTAAACGTAAGTCAACGAAAATAACCATATGTTTAGAGTAGTCATTATATAAATTAAACATGCGAGTTAAGGGCAGTACTTTTCTACGACGAGGTGAGCGAAGAAGCCTTACTGGAATAAGGCACGCCCTTATGTGAAATCTCGGAAGTCTGGCGAATCTAAAAATTTAAATTACCAAGCAGTTGTGGACAGTCAACCTTATTGTGAATAATCTTATAAAGGAGAGCCATATCCAATACTTCTTTGCTCTTCGAATTCTTCTCGTGTGCTTTTAGTCTATCTTGGAATGATATCCAGTTTTGTGAAGCGATAAAAAAGAGGTATTCATATTTCATCATTTATTTGTTTGAAACATACATAATTAATTTCATTTTCTTAAAACTTGGCTTTGTCGATATATTCCATGGCGCGCTGTTGTATACTCTCGACCTGAGACTTATCGCCGATCTTCTCTTCCGCTTCGATCCATTTCTTGAAAATGGCCTTCATCTTGCGCGCGGGCAACTTTTGGGACGTCATTCGCTCCATTACTTGTCTGAAAAATTCAAAAGAGTCAAGTGTGTGACGGTCTCTACATTAATAACACTTTATTCAATTTGACCAATACAATAAAATCATTAACTGAGTAAAAAAAATTGCCAATTTTATACATTTTGTATGACAAATCGATTTATGAACTTTGACCAACTTCTGCTGTCCCGATCTTTTTCGTCCCATACAATGAAATGACCCCTTCATGAAACCGAGTCGATCGGAACTAAAAAACAATTTTAATACATTTTATGCATTTTTATGGGCAACACACGCTCGATCAAAACATTTGCTATGCCAAAATTGTTTTCACAAAAAAATACTTAATGGTTCCTTAGAGAGTTTCCTTGTATCTTCTATGGTTTTGGATTTCATCATACTGTCCCATTAAAAAACATTTTTTTATGATACCAACAAGTTCTTTAAACCCCCAAGACATAAGCTGACATGTATTCTGTATATGTAGTTTCACCAGCACCGTTATCCTTTGAAACCGGAACTCAGTAACGCTGCATTACTGATTGGCGGCAGAAATAGTGGCAGTACTAATAGTAAGGTGGCAGTACTTCCCTGGACGAACTCTTCCACAAGGAGCTCGGCGTTAGTCTGTCGTCACGACATAATGGAAACGCGCCCTTAGTAGTGTAACATACCTGACTCTGTCCACCTCCCCAGCCTTGACAAGCATGTCGACGTAGACGCCGCACACGTCGACCCTCTGCGGGTAGACGGCAAGCACCTGTTCGAACAGAGCTTCGGCACGTTCGGGAGCGCCGTATTGCCGTTCCATTAGGGCGAATTGCACCAGAATTGACACGTCTGTTAAAAGGTTAGTATTATTTTTTAACAAGCTATTTTTATTGAATATCATTAAGATTTTTTAACATTACGATATTTATCTTTTTTTTGTGAAAATATTCTAACATTTTGTAGCTAATATTGACACATACATCGATATGGCGAGGGTGCTGGTTCGTGTCCAGCTGAATCGAAGGTATTTTTATAAAAACAAATTACAAAAACATAAAACCTATACAGGGTGTAATCGTTAAGTGTGCCCAGGCGATTATTCTACAAATATCAAGAGATGTCAAAAAGCTTTAAACTGATATCGAAAGTACGTTTACCTAATGAGTAAATTGACATCAATAACTTTTTTTAAATAAAACTAGAAATAGCCATAATTTTAACATTAAACACTCCAACTGCCTCCGTGGCCGAACGGTTACCATACCGGACTGCCACGCAGAGGTCCCCGGGTTCGATTCCCGGGCCGGGAGAAATATTTGTATGGCCTACATTTATTTCTCTCGTGAGTTTGGGTGTAATTTGTGGTTGTCTATGTGTGTGTCCATGGCACCCGCGACACAGGGTTTCCCTAGTGCGGGGCCATGTTGAGTGTGTGCGTTATTATTATTATCGTATTTATTTTAAACTCTCGCCTCTCCCAAGGCCTAAAATTATTATTATTAATATATTTAATATATGTATATAGTATTTAGAGGGTATATGTATTTGCGGCCTATTATTATTATTATTAATATATTTAATATATGTATATAGTATTTAGAGGGTATATGTATTTGCGTGTGATGCACTTTGGTGGCATGGCCTACTGGGCTGCGATCGCTTACCATATGACACTGGCAGAAAACTAGCACGGTTTGATTTCTCTCGGTCTACAGTATTTATGCTGAGTCAGAGCCATTTCAGCACAAACTGTAGTCATAGGTACATTAAAATTTTATCAGTTCTTATAGTATTTGTTTGTTTTTCTCGCAGTATGTGTTTTATATAAATGTGTATAAAATTAATAATGAATGTTCTATGTGCTTTTATGTTATACTCTATGAAGTTATTGTAAATGTGTTGTTTCTGTTTGAATTTGTGCTGAATGAACGTGTTATCTATCTATCTATCTATAACATTCGTAGAGAGGCTTTAGTTTTCCTAATAGACGCAACAATAAGTTAACAGATAACAAAACTGTAATAAATAAAGTAGTAAAACTTTCTTTTAATTGAGTAAAAATATAATGGCACAGTCAATTATTTTGTCAAGTGAGTTTTCCATAACAATGAATATTAAAGCTTTATTTATATTATTTAAAGCTTCTCTTAACAGGCTGTATATTTGAAAGTGAGACATACTTATAGAGTGCGTTATATTCCTGATTCTGAACCCAAAGAAATGATAAACTTATGAATATAAACTTTATAATTTTTTTTATCGACTACTACTTGTGAACAACATTAGTTATCGAAATCTATGCACATCACTATTATTGCTCCGACGCAGCGGTGGGCGGCGGCACGTCTTTGTTCTCTCACACGGCGGAGAAAAACAAAGCACAGGTATGGGGTGGGGGCGCGGGCGCATACGCAAAATTGCTATTTGCAGAGACAGTGCACGCGCGACCTTAATCTAACGAAGACACGCAAATTATTTGTACTTCCGTTCGTCCGATCACTGCGCCGGCGATCTGCACTGCGTGATCGTCGCAAAATGGGTGTTTATTCTACCGTCAAATTGACTGAGATAGTGCGACTTTACGCAATAATAGGTACTAGTGTGAGGCAAGCTATTGAAATGTTCGGAGAAATGTTCCCAAGTCGGAGTTTACGCGGCGGAGGTGAACAGTGTCAAAGTGTTGCGTGAGAGGATTATCTCAGAATTTTATACTGTGAGACAAAATGTGTTTATGTTGAACAAATTAAAACAAAATACTATGCCGTGCTAGACTATGCATTGTGGAAAACGGTGGACACTTGCTCCGTACCACATAAGTGTAAATAAACTGTAAATAAGTAAAAAATCACTCATTGTAAATAACTTGATTTCACATTTTTAACTGTGCCAAAAACCTCAATTCTTATTAAATGTTAAATAGTTACTAAATCATAAACTTATCTTTTTTAGTACGTAAAATATTTCGATGATAGGTCAAGTAAAAAATAATAACGTAATCATTTTGATAACAGCTTTTTCCATCATAACATAAATGGGTAGGTGAGTAACTTTTGTTTTCATTTTCTAGAGAAATGAGGTGCTTTGTCGGTCCTAAGCCCGGGAAAAAGTAGGAAAGGAGATGTGAAATTATTGTTATTGTTGCTGTCTCACTCGGCGCTCGCTTGGAAGTATTCCCATTGCACTCGAAATCAAGCGTAAAGATAATCGGTTTATTCCCATGTACACTTCACAACACATTTGCTGATTTATTGTTTCTTCGATCCCATATCCTAATTTTATTTTAGTTTATGTCATGTTGTACCATGATTTACTATGACACGTATGAATATGACTCACTTTCAAATATACAGCCTGTATTTATGTAATAATCGCCTGGGCACACTTAACGATTACACCCTGTATATATGTCATGAAAGAATGTTTAAAGAGAAATATTAGTATTATTATGCAGTTATTGTTTTATCATTCAAATATTCACCAATTATATAATAAGTTTTGTATATTAGCAGTTCCGATTTATTACATCCGATTTATTTATCTAATAGTCATGTCTCATGTCATGGCTGAAAAGTTTAAAGTTTCTAGAGCCGTAATAATCTCAGTACAGAGTATTAAAAAACCGACCTCAAAAGTACGTGGAATTACGTCTATTTGCTAAGTTTTATTGAAATATCCCCTAGTTCGCCACTATACAGGATTTCACACTGGAGATAATAAAAATCGGTTCTCACTACTCAAAGCATATGGAGAGAAAAACGGTTGGAATTGGAGAAATGGAAAAATCAACCATTAAAATAATTGCTCCCTAAGTAAAATTTAGGCGCTATTTATAAAAATGAATCTTCATGCGTGAACAGCCACCCTTAGAGGTGGATGATTTTCTTCAAAATGAAATGGGACCACTATGGAAGTACCCCTATTCCAACAAAAAAAGAATCATGAAAATCGGTTCACAAATATCGGAGTTATCGCGTAACATACATACAAAAAAAAAATACAGTCGAATTGAGAACCTCCTTTTTTGAAGTCGGTTAAAAATTATTTAAATAATGTGTCATTGAACATTTGAAGGCCATAAGTAAAGTTTCAACAAAAGATCAATACTTACGTTCCTTCTTTTCAAGTAGCGCCAGTGCTTTCTGCATAACATGCCTGGCTTTATCAATCAAAGCGAGTTTAAAGCACGCCTTTCCAGTAACGAGGTACATTGCCGGTTCTCGTCTGTACTTCCTGAACATCAAGTCTACGAGTGAGGCAAGCTCTTGTTGCTTGCCGGTCTCGACTAGGATGTCGAGAAGCTTCGAGTGGATTGTAAATGGTTCATTCATTTGGAGGGCTTCTTCTAGCGTTTTTTGTTGGGATTCCTGCGGGGATAATTTGGCTTTTAATAATGGGAGTATTAGAGATAAGTGGTACCATCAGTGTTGGGCGTTAATCAATTAAATTTCAATCAGAAATTCAATCTGATTAAATAATCAATACAATTGAAATCAATTGCAATTAAATCAATTGCGACACGTCACAATTGATTTAATTACAATTAAATTAATTGCAATTAATCTTTTAATTGAATAATATATGATATATGAATAATAAAAGAATTGAAACTAACAATTAAAACCGAAAGTACCGAATAAAAGTGTCATTACGAATATGGGTTAGGGGGTGGGTTAGGGGTGTGTTAGGGGGTGGGTCAGTGGGACGGTTAGGGGGTCGATTGGGGGGCCGGTTGGGTGGGCCGGTTGGGGGGCCGGTTGGGGGACCGTTTGGGGGGCCGGTTGGGGGGCCGGTTGGGAGCCGTTTGGGGGGACGGTCAAGGGTGAGTGACGCACCCCCTAACCCAACCCACCCACACACCCGCTCACCTACCTACTCAATTAATTAATTGTTAATTGCG